CGAATTTGCGTGCTTCAGCTCCAGAAGACAGTATGGTCATCCAACTGTCGAGCATTTAAAGAACCTGCGAGATGGCTGAGTCTTTGTCGCCCAGCTCGAGCTGAAGCAGGGTGTCGAGGCACCGTCCTCGAATAGAACTGGTGAACGTGCCCCCAATCGCTCGACGCCAAGCCTGCGCTGCCGAATGACTCATTCCGTACGCCGCTGCATCATAGTGTACCTTAGCGTAACAACCCTGCTGTATGACTCTGCGTTCTGCGTGTTTGCCCGTGCGTCTTGCTCCAATAAGTTTGCGTGCCTTGGTGACTTGCTTCCATGCTGCTTCGCGACGTGCTGCTGCTTTAGGACGTGCTCGCATGTTCGTGCCTCTGTCGGTGCCGAGGTCAACTGCTTTGTGTGCAACCGTGATCTTAATATTGTGCTGTGCCAGCTTGCGTGCAATATCTTTAGCCAAATTGATGTCCCCCGCGGTGGTCTTACTCTTGCTGGCAATACTCAAGTGCGCGTTGTTAAAGAGCCTGCCCAAAGGAGTCCCAGCTTTTGCGAGGGCCTGCGAGGGGAACCTGGCGGAGCCAACAGCACATTGCGTGATATCATCAACCCAGGAAGTAATGAAAACCATTGGGTAAACTTTATTGTGAACAGCCTCCAGCGTGCTATATCCATCGGACCTCCAAAAATCACCCCCACGGCGTGCAACGGCAATCATGCTCTTGTGCGCCTGGACAAGGAGAGTGTAGCATCTCTCTGCCCTGCAAATACGTGCAACGAGGTGCGCACGGCATCCCATCAGCAATGAAAGAGGTGGAGCATTCAAAACCAGGCCTTGCCCAACCAACCGCTTGTACTCAAGCGAGTCGTAGACATTGTCGATGTCTCAGAGCATTCTGGCAGAAACAGTATGTTTGGGTCCCATGTGTACAGCCTCGTCCTTGAAAACTCTGGGCAAACCAACATGTAAACAAGAAGAGCCACGAACGGCATGGCCTTTTTTTGCCAGCCATTCGGTTAACTCGCTCAGAAGGGTATCTGTGCCTGGCCGAACTCCACAAACGAATCAAAGCTGGTAACGAACCAATGGAGCGATCAGAATCTGGGCCTTTCCTCAGCAAGGCCACGATAGCAGACTGTACTTGCCATGGCCAACCTCCTCGTTGTTTGCAACTGTTAAGGAAACGTGTAAGATGAGCAATGTCTGCAGGAGGGAGGTAGTTGAGTGAACCGCCGAGCTGCTCGATGCCCGCCGATCTCTTGGAGTTGATCTGCTTGACCGCGATGGCGATTTGCTCGGGCTGGAGCTCTGGCCAGGGCTGTTCCTTGTATCGCTGGTGCGCCTGACATAGCACATTAAACAACAAAGCACGCTGCACAGACGAAATCTTAGCTGCCCACTTCTGCTGCCGCCGAGAGTCTTCAGAACCAGCGCGTCCTTCAAGTTAGTAAAGCTGCCACGCAGATCTCGGCGACCCGTCTCGATTCGGGACTTAGGCTTCGCAAAGCTGTGCACCTTGCCACATCCATGCCCGAAAGACTCACGCACCCAATTTTGACATCATGCATCGCTGTCTTTGGCGGCCTTCCTCTCAAGCGCAAGAACAATCTTGTCTGCGGATCTTCCCATCACGAGAAGGCGCCACGTGGCAGGTTATGTACATTCAGAAGGGTACTGGCCCAATCCTGCCTGTCTCTGCCCGCGACCCTGCCGTGCCCAGATAAAGGCTTGTTTGCTGGAGCTTGCGCCAATCTTTGCGCCGAGAATCCCTCCTCGGTGCGATCTTGACCTTGATGTTGTTCGATGCCTGGCGCGACGAATGGGGGGCTCGCCGTCTTCTGTAGAAGCGGCAAGCATATTTGGATCGCTTCTCTCCATGCCATCGGTGATTCGGATGAACTCGTTGATCCAGCCCAATACTTGCAACCAACGTTTGATTGACGTATCCGGATGCGAACGTGTCGGTGTGGTCTGCGACATGGGCGCCAGCTTGGAATGGGCGGGCCTCTCCTCGGCCGCAGTACTGCCGCGCTCGCTCTGGTGGTGCGTCCAGGACACGGCATACAAAACTCGTGAGGCAACTGATGGGAAAACCATCTTCCTCACCAAGAGAAAGCGGTGCCAGGGTCATGCTGGTACGAGAGGATGCGTTGGATCCAGTTTGGCGGCTTTGAGCAAGCAAAGTGCGGCAATGTGCGACTCTCGATGCTATCCCGCAACTCGTCGAGATCATGAGTATCCCATTGAAGATATTTGGCAGGATCGCAGTCTTCGTCGTGCTTGCTGATCTTGACGTTCTTGGTCTCGCTGACGTCCGCTTGCCACGTGCGCTGGAGGGCCTCCGAATCAAAACAAGAAACTTGCGAATCTCATCAGGAAACTGCGTCAAAGCATGTGCGACCTGAGGTTGAGCCAAAGTCCCTTGTCGTCGGTGTCTGCCTTCTCGCCTACCGTGTCCTGCTGCTGCCCAGACTGCTCGCGGTGCCCGAGGTTCGATTGACGCCTCAGTTCGAGCTCGAGCTTCTCCCGTGAGCGCTTGCTGTCCGGGTCTGCCTGGATCTTGTTGGACAGCTGTGGGAAAAAGGGTTTGGGGAGATCGAGGATGCGGCGAGTGGCGCGCTGCGAATCAAGATTCATCCCCGAAACCATGCCGTAATGGTCACCACCTTCAGCATCAATCTGAATCGAATCGCGGTCGAACGAACAAAAATCGCATGAGCCAGTGGCAGAATCAATAATGCGCGAGCCCTTTCCTCAGGTGGAGGTGCGTGTGATACCCGGCGAGAAATAGACATGACCATTCCACCTGCGCATCCAGTTGGCTAGCTCAACCGGAATGGAATTGAAGTCGCCCAAGATGACCCAAGGATTTGAGTGATTTGAAATCAAGGCAGATTTGGTGAGCAACTTACTGACATTGCATGGGCTGTTGGGTCCAACTGACACCGCAAGATAAGCACCAGTCACCAGAAGAGAAACTCTAGACACTCTCCACTCCAAGGCAACCACATCTCCGAAAGACGATGGGCCTGTGGAACCAGCGCGCTCACCAACGTTCACCAGGCCAACGGCATTGCTGAGGTCATCTGAAAGATGCCAAACATAAGTCCATGAATGATGCTGCCGAATGCCGAGAACAATACCACCTGCTTTGAGCGACTTGGTCGTAGGGTATGCTGGCGACACAATCCCATGCCACTTGTGCTGCTTCAGCGTGCTCAAATAGCCTGAGTGTCGCCAGACAAGACATGGGCCTCAGGAGTGATGGCAATGTCAACGTCGCTCTCAGCAACAACTGCGAAACTCCTCTGGCCCCGCACCGAAAGATTATGTAGTAAAATACGGCGAACTCCAGAACGCACATTTGGATGTCCATGTCTGGGCTTGGGATGCATTCGAGTCGCGTTACCCTCGAGTTTCCTGAGAGCTCGAGGCAGCCTTGTTCGCAAATGTGTCAGCCTTGGGCTGAACTCCTGATCGAACCGTCTCCAGGAGCTTCTGGGCCTGCTCTGGCGAGGCCTTAGGAGGAGGACGTGCAGGTGGGGCCTTGGCTGGGGAGGCTTCCGCAGGCTGTGACGCCTTGACAGGAGCAGGCGCCTTTGCCGCGGGGGCGGGCTCCTCGGCAGCTCCTCCATCAGCCGACTCTGGTTCAGCGTCGCGCGCTTCACCAGCTGCAGCTGCCTCCCCTTGACTTCCGAGTCGGCGGTGTTTGGTAGCCATGCAGGCCTTGAAATCGTTGAACTCCTTCCTGCGGGCACCCAGCTGAGCCGCAGCTGGTCCGGCTGTCTGGCTGATGAGCCGCTTGATCTCTTTCGCCAGGGTGTTATTTTAGTTTTGCCATGCTTTGACATCCTCGGGGGACAAGTCGAATTCGGAGAAATCGAAGGCATTGCCATCCTCCCACTCGAATATCTTGTCGAGGTCGCTGTCCCCCGCAAGGAAGTCCGACAGGTTGAGCTTCGACTTGCCGTCTTTGGAGGTGCCGTCATGTTGCTGCTGTTGCTGCTGCTTGAGGCGCTTGAGGTCGCTCTCCAGCTGGTTCTCGTGGGCCAAACGTGCATCAGCAGCCTCCTGTGCTGCCGTCTGAACTGACTCACGAGCTCGTGCCAGCCACTGGAGACAATCCTGCTCGTGCGCGAGGGCCTTCTCAAGAGCCTCGTCTGCCTTACCTGCTGCCACAGCCACCCTTTGTGCTTCGCGCTCACGTTCGAGATTGGGCTTCGCGGCTGGCTGCTGCGGCTGGGGAGCAGGACGGGCAGCTTGCCCGATGGCCTCGAGCTGAGAATTTGCCTGAGGTACGCGTTGGAGAAGAGCCTCCACAAGCTTGTCCGTGGTGGGTGCGAAATGGTGCAGTGAGCCGTTGGCGAGGTTGGAGGACAAACCGCCTGGAGACCATTAGCCAGGAGGCGGCTGGTAGAATGGGCTGACCTGCTTGCTGGGCGCGGCGACGTTGCCCAACGCAGGAGGCCCATGATTCCATTCACTTGCATCTCGCTGAGGGGGTTGTCCGCCGACGGGGCGCAAGACACCACCTGCACTGCCAGCACTTGGTATGCTTCTTCCAGTTCCACTTGTAACGGCAACCGTCATGAGGACAAGAAACATACCCCTGCGAACCAACATATTGAGTCTTCCATGTCCCCATGGTGTATGAAAGATGGATGTTGCGCCGCCTGGGCAGGCTGACACAGCGGAGCGCTAAACATGGTTGGATCTAGCCGCGGACTAGCGGTATCCACCTGTTCCCCTGCTGAACAAGGCATTTTGAACCAAAATGGCTACGGAAGGAGGAGGAGGAGGAGGAGGAGGAGGAGGAGGAGGAGGAGGAGGAGGAGGAGGAGGAGGAGGAGGAGGAGGAGGATGGAGGATGGAGGATGGAGGATTGAGGAGGAGGGAGGGACCTGGAGAGGGAACTGCCTTCTGCGCGTCGGTCGCATCAGCCGAAGCCGACGGGGCGGCGGGCCCCGAGAGCCCGCTCCGGGCGGCGCCCCCCCCGGCGCCCGCCGAGGTCGCCGACATGGTCGAGAGCGCCGACGACGCGAGGCCGGGCCGGCCACGGCTGGGAGAGTTCGGGGCCCGACAGTGCCAGACATTTGGCGTCTCGGAAAGAGTGCCGTCGTTTTACTATTCCTTGCTTTGCCGATGGGCGCGGGCCCTCGCACCCCCCCTCCCCACTGCTGCAAGCGGTTGCATTGAGCAGAGGTCCAGAGCCAGACCCCCCCCCGATCCCAGGAACTGGTCGAAAGGTCGGGGGGGCCCTGTTTCGAAAACGTCGAGACGCTGGACGTCTGGGATGTTTCTGCCGCGTCTTGCCGGCCGGATTGCTCTTTGGGGGGGGGCAGGGCCCAAAATGACGTCTGAGCGCCCGACTCGAACATATTGCGACGCTAGGGTCTCTGGACGAGCACGCGGGGCGCCGCTGTCGCGCGATCGGCAGGCCGTGCACCACGTGCCACTCTCGCCGCCTCGGACCGCTGCCGCGTGCGGCCCCGAGGATCGAGGATAATTAGGACCACGGATCGAGGGCCGACCTCGAGGGATTAAGGCTCGATGCTCGAGGACTCGAGGCTGCAGGATCGGGCTTCGAAGACGGAGACTGCGAGGATCGAGAGCCGCGGGTCGCGAGAGGAGGTTCGAGGATCGAGGCTCGAGGTCCGAGGACAGGAGGAGGAGGAGGAGGAGGAGGAGGAGGAGGAGGAGGAGGAGGAGGAGGAGGAGACGAGCACGCGGGGCGCCGCTGTCGCGCGATCGGCAGGCCGTGCACCACGTGCCACTCTCGCCGCCTCGGACCGCTGCCGCGTGCGGCCCCGAGGATCGAGGATAATTAGGACCACGGATCGAGGGCCGACCTCGAGGGATTAAGGCTCGATGCTCGAGGACTCGAGGCTGCAGGATCGGGCTTCGAAGACGGAGACTGCGAGGATCGAGAGCCGCGGGTCGCGAGAGGAGGTTCGAGGATCGAGGCTCGAGGTCCGAGGACAGGAGGAGGAGGAGGAGGAGGAGGAGGA